TGATGTAGATGGATAGACTCATGCAATATGAAGAAAACCCCATCTTGTTATCCTCGATGGCAACAATACAATACGTGCCTTGCTGCCCATACTGTCACTGGGAAAGGACACCGCAAGATTGAGCCCAAAGCTAAGCACGTCTCCCATTGCAAGAAAGATCAATCTAGTAGGCCAAACCAAACTGATAATTCAAAGAGACTTGCAAAGATAACCAATCATACATAAAAGAATTCAGAGAAGATTCAAATATTATTCATAGATAGACTTGATCATAAACCCACAATTCATTGGTCCCAACAAACACACCGTAAAAAGAAGATTACATCAAATAGATCTCCACAAGAGAGGGGGAGAACATTGTATTGAGATCCAAAAAGAGAGAAGAAGCCATCTAGATACTAACTATGGACCCGTAGGTCTGAGGTAAACTACTCACACTTCATCGGAGGGGCTATGGTGTTGATGCAGAAGCCCTCCGTGATTGATGCCCCCTCAGGCGGAGCTCCGGAACAGGCCCCAAGATGGGATCTCGTGGATACAGAAAGTTACGGCGGTGGAATTAGGGTTTTGGGTCCTGTTCTTATCGTTTGGGGGTACGTGGATATATATAGGAGGAAGGAGTACGTCGGTGGAGCAACAGGGGGCCTACGAGGGTGGAGGGCGCGCCTGGTGGGGGTGGGCGCGCCCCCTACCTCGTGGCCTCCTGTTTTATTTCTTGGCGTAGGGTCCAAGTCTCTTTGGTCTTATTCGTTGAGAAAATCACGTTCTCGAAGGTTTCATTCCGTTTGGACTCCGTTTGATATTCCTTTTCTTCGAAACCCTAAAACAGGCAAAAAAACAGCAATTCTGGGCTGGTCCTCCGGTTAATAGGTTAGTCCCAAAAATAATATAAAAGTGGATAATAATGTCCAAAACAGTTGATAATATAGCATGGAGCAATCAAAAATTATAGATACGTTGGAGACGTATCAGTTCTCCTCAGAGCAGCCCCCGCCAAAGAAAATTGATGACTTATCAAGATTCACTCTTTGGCCCGAGGCAGACTCGTACTTCACTAGTATCTCTCTGAGCTCCGTCATGCTTTCCTCCGATCCTTCCAGGAAAACAATGCTGTCGTCTGTGAATAACAGATGTGTGATGTGGGGGCCAGTGCTCCCAAATGACACACCCTTGATGACCCGGTCATTTTGAGCTCTTTTAAGCAGAGCCGAGAAACCCTCCACACAAAACAAAAAGAGATAGGGGAGAGTGGATCACCCTGCCAAAGCCCTCTGGAAGGAAGAAAACACCTTGAGAGCCCCCCATTGAGTTTAACAGAAAAACTAGCAGAAGTCACACACCTCATGATCATAGCAACCCATTGAGGGGCAAAACCCATTCTGTTCATCATTTGCACCAAGAAAGGCCACTCAACCCGGTCGTAAGCCTTCATCATATCCAGTTTGACCGCACAAAGACTCTTCTTTCTTTTTCTAGTGCGGATCGCGTGGACACACTCATAAGCCACAAGCACATTGTCACTAATGAGCCGTCCAGGAACAAAAGCACTTTGCTCTTCAGAAATGAGAACAAGCAGAATGATCTTCAACCTATTGGCTAGTACCTTGGTAGCAAGCTTGTAAAGCACATTACATAGGCTTATCGGTCTGAACTGAGACATAGACTCCGGTGCATTTATCTTAGGGATCATGATTATGACCGTGGCATTGAAAGAGTCCGGGGTAGCAGCACCACTAAGGAAATCACGGATCACAGCACAAACATCCTCCTTGACAAGCGCCCAGTGGCGCTGGTAGAAGATAGCAGGAAGCCCGTCCGGTCCCGACGCTTTAGTGGGACCCATTTGGAACAGCGCCTGCTCAATCTCAATGTCAGAAAAAGGGGCAATAAGCTTTGCATTCATATCCTCAGTGACTGCCGGAGCAATGTGACCCAGCAGTCCCTGCGCCCCAACCGAACCCTCAGAAGTGAGCAGATGCTCGTAGAAAGCAGCAACAACCTCACACATTTCCTCATTCACGACTGCCCGAGAGCCGCCCCCCTTAAGCAGGGCCTTAACAGTGTTTTTCTCCTCCTATGGGTAGCTCTTGCTTGGAAATACTTCATATTTTGATCTCCCGCCTGCAACCAGTCCACTCGCGATCGTTGTCTGTACATAATCTCTTCCCTTTCACAAGTCTCACAGAGCCGCTCCTCAATATCTCTGACCTCCTAGTTCATACCCGAGTGGGTCGTTCTAATTCTAGCCTCCTCCAACTGTTTTTTGAGCTTATAAATTTTCCTACGAATGGAGCCAAAAACCTCCCTCGCCCACCGTTGCATACTCCCAGAGACAGTGGCCAGCCGCTGCCATACATCGTCAAGCCCTTGTCCACCAGAGCCTGCCGCTGCCCATGCCTCCGCAACCATTTCATCATACTGTGCGTGTCTGGTCCATGCCTCTTCAAACCTAAACGGACGAGCCCCCCCCCCCATGTTATCGCATGGAGCCGTCTCCAATGCTTTAATGAGCAGCGCCTGGTGGTCCGATTCTTCTGTCACAATGTGCTCCACCACCGACGCCGGGAAGGATTCAAGAAATGTTTCAGAGCACACGGCTCTATACAACCTAACTTTAATATTATCAGCTCCATCCCTCGTATTATCCCAAGTATAAGGGAAACCTGAGAAACCCATGTCAGCAAGGCCGCAGTCGGCTAGACAGTCTCGAAAGTTCTCCATTTGGGCAAAGCTTCTCAAGTTACCACCAAGCTGGTCCGTGTAGAACAGAGCCTCATTAAAATCGCCCGCGCATAACCAAGGAAGATCATCCTGCGACCTTAGGAATCGAATCGCCTCCCAAGATTTATTTCGAAGCTCAGTTCTTGGCTCACCATAGAAACCAGTGAATCTAGCGTTTTTGCCATCATGGACAATCTTAGCATCAATGAAATATTTGCACCATGGCCGAACAGTAACATCAACGTGATCTCTCCACCATAATGCTAGACCCCCACTCTTGCCCACACAATCAACTGCAACACCATTCTGAAAACCCAAACTCCACCTGATCCTCTCCATAGCCCTTTGCCTTCTTCTTTGTTTCACATAAGAACACCACCATAGGGTTGTGAGACCGAATGAGGTCCCGAAGTTCACCAACTGTCGAGGCCAACCCCCAAACCCCGACAGTTCCAAGATAAGAGATTCATTGCTCTCGGCGGCCCTGCTGGGGCAGGGTCCGCCGCTCCGTCATAGCTCTCTGAGATGCGGTCAAACACTGTAGACATCTTGCGTCTCGTATCGCGAATGAAAGCATCCTGTCCATCCTGTCTGTCCAGATCGCCCTTGGCAATCCACATCTGCCTTGTTCCTCTCTTCCTGCTTACATCCTCCACATGCCCCTGAGAAGAACTGCCGTGTTGCGGGACCCCCTCCCTCCGATGGTGGTTCACGTAATGGCCCTTACATCGGGAGCGATCCCCATGCATAACGGTTCATGCATATTGGGCGCATGCATGCCGGGCTCACCCTGTGGATCCCCTGAATCCCATCGGTGCATGTCTCAAAAAAAACCGTTTTCTTCAGGGGCCTATGGGAACATACCTTGCGAACAGCGGACCATCGAGAGGCCTTGGGGTAAGATTGATCCTCGTCCTCAAAAACCATCCCATCGGCCTCTTTGTCCAACAGCAT